AGCTTTATTCATAATTGCCAAAATTTGGAAGCAAGCAAGATGTCCTTCAGTAGGTAAATGTATAAATAAATTGTGGTACACCCGTGCATTGGAATAATATTCAACCATAAAAAGAAATGAGTTATCAAGCCACAAAAAGACACAGAAATTTTAAATGCTCTTTTTGATTTTTTAAAATATATTTTATTGATTTTTCAGAGAGGAAAGGAGAAGGACAGAGAGTCAGAAACATCAATGAGAGAGAAACATTGGTCAGCCGCCTCCTGCACACCCCCCACCGGGGATGTGCCCACAACCAAGGCACATGCCCTTGACCGGAATCGAACCCGGGACCCTTCAGTCCGCAGGCCGACACACCATCCACTGAGCCAAACCGGTCAGGGCTAAATGCTCTTTTTAAAAATATATATGTTTTATTGATTTTAGAAAGAGATAAAGGAGGAGAAAGAGAGAGAAACATCAATCAGTTGCCTCCAGGGAATCAAACCCTGGTATGTGCCCTGACTGGGAATTGAACTGGCAACCTTTTGAAACAGGAATTTTAGGGATAAAATAGGACAGGTTTAGGAAATTTTAAAAATTAAGAGGACAATGGAAGAAGCACAGGGCTGAAGAGCAGCAGAAGGTACATTTCCATAGAATAGGGAAGCTGAAAAGCTGCAACAGGTGCATTTCCAAGGAATAAGGGAGTTGGGAACAGCAAAAGGTCTATATTTACAAAATAAAGAGAAGGAGCCCTTCATCCAGAAGGAGAAAAAGAAAGCCCAAAGGGAATAGGAAAACAATAAGGAAGAGGGGGGGGGAGAGAACCTCACATGTCCCAAGTGAAGTTCAACCTTTGAGCCCAGGAGTTACTATAGTAACCAGTCCAAGGGAATAGTGACCAATCAGAGGGGATATCAAGGCACCAAGAACTGCAGCCTTTATAAGCCATTGGAAAAGGAACTCAGTGGGACCCTTTCCTCCTCCCCACGTGCGAGTCCATTCTGTGGGACTCTTTCCCTCTCCCCACGTGGGAGTCTGTACTTGTTCTTCAATAAATCTCCACCCTTTGCTATACTACCCTCTGTCCTTGGATTCATTCTTCAACTCCAGTGGACAAAGAATCTGGGTTCCAGTCCAAAAATTCTGTTTCAAATTGGTGCGTTGGCCGGGAATTTCTCCGTAAGTCAATCAACCCTCTTCACATCGAATGGTGAGTAGCCACCAAGTCTGTCCCTCTGTCCCTTTTCTGTCTCTTGTATGATTTTGGAGGCTGACGGCTGCCCGCCAGTCACTTAAACTTGGCTGCCATCTAAAAAGCGGGTCTCTCTCTCTCTCTCTCTCTCTCTCTCACTGCTCCTTTCTGGATGTATTCTCCAGGGCCAAAACCAAAGCGGGCATGGGTCAGTCAAGTAAAGGCCACTATGGCAACTGCTGCTGCAAAAAAAAAGTCTCCCATGGAAGGATAAACTGGTGCTGGGTAGGGTTAGAGCGTTAGGCTTCCACCAGTCGCAAGGCAAGCCCGGCCATCTACTAAATGAGTGCTTGGGTCCCTGCCCAGCTCTGAAGATCAAAGAGGCAAATTCCTCCCCCTGGATCGAGCATCTCAAATGTCCCTACGTGAGTACAGGACCTCGCAGGGGTGTCTGGGTTGTTGAACCCTAAAAGACGTGCAGGGGCCTCACAGAAGCAACACATGTAATTAAATTCTGACCTGTCCAGGGGATGCAAATAAGGTTGGTCACCCAGCATTCTGGGTCCTCGTGGTTGTCTTAGACAGCGGGGAGAGAAACTAAGACACGGTTCCAAGAAAACAGCACTTTGCTGATCCACTACATATGCCCACTCCCCTAGCCCAGACCCCAAGCAGGTTTTAATTGGAGAATCATCTGCCTTTTTCTTCTGCTCTCTATCTCAGTCAGGTCAAATAGTATCCAGCCAAAACCGTTGCCTCCTCGGTCCAGGTCCCACTAAGCTTAACTCAGTCTACATTTGTGCAGGCCTTTATAGTAAGGCTCCTAAGAAAAAACTTCTAGGCAAGAGTTAAGAAAGGGAGGGCCAGCTAACTGTTTTCCACTCCTGGCATATGAGCATGGCCCTAGATCTTCCCATCAGGCATAACAGGAGTTAATTAATCACAGCCCTTCGCCACTTCTGCCACCACCCCTGTAGAGGTTTTAATACAGTTCCTCATGTTGTGGTGACCCCCAACCATAAAATTATTTTCATTGCTACTTCATAACTGTAATTTTGCTACTGTTATGAATCGTCATGTAAATATCTGATATGCAGGATGTATTTTCATTGTTCAAAACTGAACATAATTAAAGCATAGTGGTTAATCACAAAAACAATATGTAATTATATATGTGTTTTCCAATGGTCTTAGGGGACACCTGTGAAAGGGTCGTTCGACCCCCAAAGGGGTCGCGACCCACAGGTTGAGAACCGCTGCTAGCTGCTTCTGCTGCCACCCCTGTAGAGGTTTTAGCCTTTCAGAGAATTCAGCATTACAGCCAGACACAGCTGTTAAGTTAGCCCATTAATTACTAGGTAATTCGCGTCTCGTCTTTATTGCGATTCTGTAAAATGGTCGCACACTCTTGGGAGTGTTCTTAAAAGCCTCATTTTTGCCATGTTTTTATTTCCCAGTCGGTCATTTAAAATTTGGATAGATGAGACATTGCTCACAATTTAGGGACGCTTCCGGGACTTCTGTAACCGAGGGAAAGGTTAGTTCAAGAGGAGGCACCCCATCCAATTTTGGGTGACCTCTTGGCCTGAGCCCCATCTCTTCGCCGGTGCTATAGAATAGGCCCCAGATGGTTTTTCTTTAGAAAATGGTGAAAATGAAGCAAAGGGAATATACGTGAGGCAAGCCACATGGCCAAAATAGTCCACTGGAAGAATGCTGAGGTTCTGGGAAGGGTCAGTCCCCCAAACCTGGAACGGGAGACATTGCTTTTTTAATGGAGTGCTTTCTGGAGTGTCTGTGGACTGTGCGCACTTGTAAATATCGTGTATAAGAGTGTTTCTACTGATGTTTCCTGTTGATGTCTGAATCAATCTGTTTAAAGATAGGGAACGTCCCACTTTGCTGGGGCCCAGCTGCTTGTGGACAGGCGGAACATGTGGCAGGGTTTGAATCTTGAGAGTCATTTTGTCTGCAATGTACATTGGTTACTGATTTTTTGCTAGCTTAGTTTGCTCTTCGCTGTTTTTATGAACATAGAAAGCCTTTCTGTCTCTGCTCTGTGTAGGCTTTGTGCCACTCAGAACCAAAGGTTATTTTACTGTGCTGGATTAAGATTTTAAGATTCTAAGACTAATTTGAAAGTGTAAAATTGTGAAGGTTACATATATGTTAACCCCGGGAAGTTTAAACAAAGACCACTAGCTAAAGTTGTAGCCTGCCTGTGGTTGACAAACCATTGTCTTCCCCACCTGGGGCGAAACGGGAGGGTGAAGGAAAAAGAAAGCAGTTTACTCAGACAAGCGGCTTTTGGTTCCAAAAGCGGCAGAATAGAGGCAGCACTGGCCGAACCTGTGCAGGTGCTTAGAAAAGGGGGCAGGGTTGGGGAAATTGGCAAGGCCCACCCAGCATCATGTCCATTAAACATCTGGTAGGCAGCATAGGTATTAGTGGGGACCAAGTGGTCCATGCCTGCCTGTGATGTCACAAACCCACACAGGCCCTGCGGAAGCAGGAACTAAGGTTAACTATGAGGTGATCACAGCTTTGCAGCTTCTGCGCCCTTGGGGGCACAGCAGCAAGGGAATGGATGGGTGGTAGGCGTGTCCTCCCAGCATTTCCTCTGTGACATTCAAGTCTATGATACCTGTGCCGTTACTAAGATATAAAAATTTGATGGTCAAATTGAAAATGATTAATTCTGTGGTCAAGACCAAATCTTTATTGTTAAAACCGGTTTCAGGTTTAATAATCTTTAAATTGGGTATATTTGACAGCTTTTCTGAATGTAATATTTCAAGAATTTAACTGAGAGACAGCTTTGTGACA